TCAGAGTTCTTAGTGGAAAATTGCCTCTGAGCGCGGGGCCCCCTGAGCACACAGCTACTCCAAATCCCTTATTAATCGTTCCCCGGGTCCTGTTTTTTAAGGCGCCTTTTTTGTGACTGGGGGATCCAGTTTGTTAGGGCGCTTTCTTTGGATTGGAGCTTCAGGGGGTCTGGTTTATTAAGGCGCCCCGTCGAAGAGAGGGGTCCGAACTATTAGGTCGCATTTGGAGGGGGTCCCGTTTTTTAGGAGGAGGATCGATTAATAAGGTATTTGGAGTAGGTTGATGCCCCACGAACCGTTTCTTGAGACTCATGGCTGGACTGACGTAACATACAACATGGTAGACCCACCCGAGGTGGAGCGGGGGTGGGCGCCGCTTCATAGTTGATTCTAAGATCGCAAGCAACACTGTACCAGTCCATCCACCCATGTATCCACCCACGGATCCAGACAGTCTTTCACAGTTTAACAACACACTGCTTACGCATGCTTCCTATGTTGACTGCAGTTGGTTCACAGCTGATACACAAGTCGCAATCAGCTCGCCGTGCAAACGCATCAACGTGGACACACGAACTGTTCAGTGCACAATTGATCACATCACGTCACTGCAGCACCGCTCGAATCCAATTCGCCATTGCTTCGAAATGAAACGTAATTGGTTGTAGTTCGATCACCACTGACGGAAGTCTCATTCACAATTGACGCACATCATGTTCGCAACTGGTTCCCACCTACGGTCAGGAACTTTGAGATAACCTGTCGCGGCAGCGGCCCCGGCGACACCCTGTGCCTTGCAAGCGGATGTAACGTTTAGCCCCGTCCCGCGGGCCGGGAGGCTGGGAAAGGCTCGGGACGCTAGCGCTTGGAAATGGGGACGTGGATACTCCAGATGTCGTCATAAAAGGGAGGGGGTCTGAACCCTCCAAGACAAGCCATTTCAGACCTCCCCCGTGGGAGAACCCTCCAAAACATCGTCCCCAGACCCCCCCAGGCCCTCCAAGATAGCCTGGAAGAGACCCCCCCCCGAAATGAGACCCCCTCCCTTTTATTACGAAATCTGGAGTAGCGTGTCGCTTTCAAGCGTGGTGGGCAAGAACCAGCGGAGCGACACGCTAAGCCAAAGTCCCTGACCGTGAATCGAAACCTGTTCAGAAACGCAATCGGCCCACCACCCAAATCGCAACTGATTCCAAATTCATTCACGATTGGCTCACGCTGCGAGTTCACGACACCGCAGCACGACGATACCACGACACCACCGCACTGCGGAAGACCGTCCCGTTCACACTGCCATTCCGTCGCACGACGATTCGCCCGGCGAACTGGAGACTTCAAAGACAAGCGATGAACACACAGCCTGTGTAGCGCCACGTTGAAACTGCAAATCTTCGACTAAAACATGCGTGGTCGAAAGGGCTGCGGGGGGAGCTCTAGAAACACGCAGATACAAGTAAATGACATGTAGTCAATGAAACTGCCCTAAGATTGCCAACGAGCTCAAGGAGATAACCCAAAGAGCCCAGCAGACGATCCGCAGAGGCCCCAACATGGCCGCCAGGTGGCGCCCCGGTGCCACAAGAGGCCCCGGGATGTGGTCCGAGGGTGCCCCTGGGCCCCCTCGCCGCCGCCGCCCCCTGGAGGCCAAACTCGGTACGAAAACATTCGACGATGAGATCCCCACATGCGCATCATCATGCTCTGGCGCGTTCCTCTGCGAGCGGCTGAGCGCGAGGGAGTCTGGGCCTGAGCACGACTAAACGAGTGAGTCCGAATGTGAGCGCTGTGTTCTGCCGCGTTCTGCCACCTGCCGATATGTGTCGTTCACTGCTGCCCCTAATCATCCGCATGCTCCTCCTCCTCCGCCGCCTCCTCCTCATCATCCTCCTCCTCATCCTCCCTGGCCAAGTGAACACCCCCTCCGGGAGGCCTAACTGAAAAGCCTGCTACATCGTAGTGGGCATGAGGCTCTGAGAAGAGACCCTGGCGTTCCGCCGCCCAAGAGGCCCCCAGCCAACTAGGCGGTCATGGTGAGTACCACCTGGGGATGCCCAAATGCCATACCTGTGACATGGCGGTGACCCTGGGATTCTTGCAAGAAGCCCCTCCGCTGTGCCAAAAACGGGCGTTTCGCACGGGAGGTCCCCCCAATCTGGGCGCGAGCGGGCCCGTGAAACACCCCTCTTACCGAAACCCGCTTGGAGGGTCCCAATGCCATGCCTGCTGAATCGTGGTGGCCGTGGAGGTATGAAAGGCCACTGGACCAAACCAGACGTATCTTCTGAGAGGTCCCCGCAATCTGGGCGCGAAAGGGCCAATGAAACACCCGTGGTCGACGTCCTCTCGGGAGACACTTGTCATGCCTTCTGGATCGCGGTGCCCATTCGGCTCAAAGTGATCTGAAAGTGAGTAAGTCTGAATGTGAGTCATTGTTGATGAACGGGATTGAAGGCGAGTTAATACTAATCGATGTGAATGGATACGAGTGCACGTGAATCTAACAACGGGCGAGTGCGATGAACAAGGGTATGAGTGGTCTGGCTATGAGTGAGCCTGAATGCAAGTGAATCTGGGTATGAGCAAAGCTAGGTGTGAGTGGGTGTGGGTGTGAGTGAGTCTCAGTATGACAGATTCTGGTTATTAGTGGGTCGGAGTGCGAGTGGTCGGGGTGTGAGTGCGTCTTGGTATCAATAAGTCAGAGCACGGGTAGGAGCATGAGGTGGGCCAAGTGCGAATAGGAGAGTTGAGGCGGGAAGGAAGCAGGAAGGAAGAAGAAGGCGGAGGCGTCACACTAAAAGCGAGAACCCCGTACTTGGGACACGGGGGGGAAACCTGCAGTTTTTGAAGATGCCGTTGTGCGTCGCCCGCTCGGCATGGGCCGCGGGGTCCTTCACACGGCCCCCAGCTGGCCCCAGGAGGGCCCAAACAAGGTCTCCGAGGAGGGCCCAAACAAGGGCTCCAAGACAGTCGACAGGGGCCCCAGAAACTCCTCGCGTTGCCGAATATGCTCTCAAGTGGTCCCAGAGTGGCCACCTGGCTCGAAAGAGAGCTCGCAATCGCCCAAGATCACACAGAAAATGCTATAAAACGCGTAGTGGTGTCTGGATTCTAGCTCTTCGAAGGGCGCGGCCAGAATGAGCCGCAGGCTGGGGCCGTCTCGAATGAACAATCATCGGGAAGGGGCGGAACGTGTCTTCTACGGCGGGACGCCCATTCCCCGCCGCCTCTCCTAGATGCCAAAATCCTGGAACGCACACACGCACACACGAAACAAAATCTCGCGGCCCAAGAGGGGCTAACGACGGCCCAGAAATTTGACTTGAGGCCTCCAAGACATGAATTAGATCTCATCAAAGCCAAAATCATGAAATCGCAAATGTTCGCACTTGGCTTCCACGCTTTTCTACTCCAGATGATGCCAAGGGGGCCTCGGGAAGCCCAAAGAGCGAGCAAAAGGAATCCAAGAGGGCCCAAAGGTAGCCCTGAGCCAGCCCAGGACAGCCCCAGGAGGGATCTAAGACGGTCAACTAGAGCCTCCGAATGCCCAAGATGGCCTCAAGAGGCCCCCAACACGACCAAGAGGTGCCCAAGACGGCCCAATAAAACACCAAGACGACCAACAGAGAACCGAAAACTCGCCCCGGAGTGCGCCAGGAGGGTCCCAAGGTGGTCCCGAAGACTGCCCGAGAGGTGCCCAACAGAGCCACGGGGCGGTCCACGGAGGAGGCTGCCGAGCCAAGAAGGGCCCAGGAGGCCCCAGGACCAGCCCGAGAGAGGTCCGAAGAGGCGACAATGTTCTCCCGTGGAGGGGAAGAGCACGGGGACCATGACCAAGACTGAACGTGGAGATTCCGTGTCGATCTTGGTCAGCATCGATCTTGGTCAGCGTCAATGTGTGGGCAATCCTCGCGACTCGGCACGGCCTGCATGGACCATGACGAAGATCGGCATCGACAAGAACCCGCGACATCTTGGTCATGGTCCCCGTGACTCTTCCCTCGATCCCGAGACGCCCCAGAAGCACACCAGGGGGGGCAGCGGTGACTCGCCGAAAGCGCGTCTGATAAACTGCCACCCTCGCCGGGCACCTGCGCATAGAACACGGTCGCCAAGGCTGCATCTGCATGGTGATGAAGATGGTTCAGAGCTCCTCTCCTCGACACATTCACCCAACCATCTGGGATGTCACATATTCCAGAGTCTTCCGAGCTCCGCGGCGACGGAGGTGGCGTCTCGCCAGCCGCCTCGACGAGAGCCGCATCCACCACAGCGACTCGTCGCAAGCAGCCTGCAATACACTTCATAAGCGCATCTGCGCCAGGATGGCGGTCGCTCGTGAAGAGATCCCGGACCGAATGGAAACCACCCACATTGGACACGTGCACGTAATCGCCCGGAACCGAAGCCTGTTCGCGTCTGATGGAGCTCCCAACTAGCGCAGGCCAACTGTCTAGCGCAGGTAGCAGAAATCTGTGCACCCTGTAGCAACGATGGCGTCCAAATGACAAGCGTCGCACAAAGCTCTGCGTGACCTCGTGCGCGGCCACAACATCACTGTCATCTAGCACTTGCATACTCACCGGCTCAAGGCTTTCCCATTGCAACTCAACACGCTCATATACGGCCTGGCCAAATTTGCCGCGCGAGACATGTATTGGGTCTTCCAGCAGTGCACCCAACACCTCTGGCGGCAGCGGCCCACCGTTTGTGACGGCTTCCTCAGCAGCCTCGACCACCTTCCCAAATGCCCTGTCTTTGCCCGGAGGGGGAGGCTGTTCCATCGGACTTGTCATTTAGGAGCCAGACGTTTTCCAGAGAGAGATGGGCTGGCAGCTGGCTTTGAACCAAAAGGCTACACATGAAATGGAGGAAAAGACGGGAAGGAAGGTAAGGCCCGCGCCGCAAACCCTGAATCCAACATCTTGACACCTCTTAGGGGCGCAGTAGTTGCTTCTACCGGGTTCCGGTGACCCTCCGCCGACATCCGACGGCGGAACCTCCCTCCCTTCAGTTCTGGCGAATTCCGCAGGCCTTCCACCACTTCCGCCGCAGAAGAGAAATCAGCTTCTCCATTGCTGAAGGGCCAGGTCCGTCTGGAACGCCTTGCGTAGCAGCAGGAGCAGCAGCAGGAGGCCCAGGCTTCCCCGAAGCATCTGCACAGGCCGCCGAGATGCCCAGTGCGCACGAGCTCGGCCCGTCATTCCACGTGCTCCACGAAAAGCTGGCCCAGACGATGACGAAGATGACGACTGCAGACGAAGTGAAAGCATTCTGCCGTGTCTGCGCATGGAAGCGCAAGTTATGGATGTCACGGCAATGGACACCCTGACAGTCCTATCATTGAATTTGAAAAATGTGTTTAAAAATGTCGGACACATGTTACGAACATGTGTTAAAAATTGTTTTTTATGTTTAAACCATGCTTAACACATTTTTAGACATCTGGAAATAATTTGGCAACATGCTTCCTTTCCATTGATCGTCCTCAACAACGCAAGTGGTGCAGGAACGGGCACCCATGCCTGCCACGACTGCTGTGGCGGTAGCATCAGCCGTGAGGGAAGCGACGGGGACGAGGCGAGGGGAAAGGACTGGAAGTTCGACCAACGGGGGAGATGTCGGCCCCTATCGCCGACTTCGTGGGGTCTTCGAATGGACTGGAAGGTTGGGCCCCAACTCGGGGATACACGATGGGGGGGCGTCCATCCTCCGATTGGAGGTGTGTCCCTCGAGTTTCCCGTGAGGAGCGAGCACTGCAGAAGTGCTGCAGGAGCACGCGGGCACGAGGGCGCACGTCGCCCGAGAGAACCCCAGGCGCGTCGCTCAGGCCGTCTCCGGGTCGTCGGGGAAGAGGTCAATGGAGTAGCCCTCCTCCAACTCGCAGTACGCCTTCAGCAAGCATCGTCATCGTCGTTGTCATCGTCATCGTCATCGTCATTGCCATCGTGACCGTCATCGTCATCGTCATCATCAATGCGCCTTCTTGTACACCGACTTCCTCCCGATCTTCCTGCCGAACTCCCTGGTGAACTTGGCCATGGGGATCAGCGTGTTGCACTTCTTCACCTTCACGCCGAAGACGGTCTCCACTGCAGCTCGGATCTGTGGCTTGTTGGCGCGGCGGTCGACGAGAAAGGTGTAGGTGTTATACTCTTCCATCAGCATGCAGGCCTTCTCCGTAAGCAGAGGGTACTTGATAATGTCATACATCCCGCCGTCCTCCTCAAACTCGTACTGGTACAATCCCATCTTTGCCTCCAGCTTGTCCTGTCTCATGGGGGAGCTGATGCCCTGGAAGCGGGGGCCCATCGACACCCTGCGGGGGAAACCAAAACGACATGCCGACAAGCCCCGGACATCTCACCGCCGTGGCGACGAGGGCCCCACCGGAAGCCCAGCACGGCGAGAACGATCAAAATCAGGGGGCATCGGCACCGGTGTGCTCACCCCCTCTGGGGGGCCTGGAACGGCGGAGAGCGAGGGAGGGGCCCCGGCACCGAGGCGCTGCCCCCCGAGAGGAGGCCCGGCACGGCGAGAGCGACCCCGAGCTCCGACGGCGCGAGAGGAGACGCAACCCCGTGGAAGAAATCACGACTGGAGCCCAGACCCCACCTCTCGACTGCATGTGTGCTTCAGGCTGGATCGATATGTGAGGCTCCTCCTCCGCCTCTGCCTCCGCCTCCTCCTCCTCCTCCTCCTCCTCCTCCTCCTCCGGTGCCCGAGATGAGACGGACACACTTCTCCGTCGCGGCACGGCAAAGGCAATCCGCTCGCGCGGAGCTGCTGATTTGCCCGCATGCAAGAAGGGAAAGGGAGGGAAGAGAGGGCGGCCGCGTAGGAGAGCAACGGGACGCGGGGGCACTCCCGCGCGGAGGGGCCGCGGGGGGGCGCGCGGGGGCGGCCGGGCTGAAGGGCAGAATCTGGCAGCAGTCGCGGGCGGCATCACGACGCACCCAAGGGTGGGGCCAGCAGCCGCAGCGCGGGGGGGGGAAGGAGGAGAGGCGGATGAGGAGAGGGGGAGGAGGAGAAGAGGAGGAGAGGAGGAGACGAGGAGAGGATGAGGAGGAGAGGAGGAGGAGGATGAGAGGAGATGGAGGGGAAGGAGGAGGAGGAGGAGGAGGAGGAGAAGGAGCAGCCGCAGTGCGCAAAAGTTGCGCCCACCGCAGACCTCGTCCCGTCGCGCGGGCTCGCAGCCGCCACTGGGCGCAGGCTCGAGGAGGCCACCGCCGGCGGCGCCCGCGCGAGCCCCGCCGGGCGCTGCTGCCGCGGCGCGGCGGTGAAGCCCAGCGGCGCCACCACCGCTGTGGCCAGGGCGGCGAGCGCCGCTGCCGCGCGCCTCGCGGGTCACAGGCCGGACGAAACAGATTCGGGGAGGCCAGAGTCCCAGGTGGGGGCCGAACAGACGGGGTCGGAGGATCGCGCCGCATCGCCGATGCATCGCCGATGCATCGCCGATGCATCGGCGTCGTCGGCGATGCATCGGCGGCGTCGGCGTGGACAAAGTCGGGCTCCGCATCGGGCCGCATCGCCGACGCATCGACGATGCCGTCTCCGACCCCATCTACACCGACCCCATCTGGGAGGCTCAGAAAGACGTAAGACTCGGGTTCTGGGGGCTCGGGTTGGCCTCATGGGGCCATCAAGAAAACCACGAGACCCAAGCTGAAACCTGACGTGACCTCTCCTGGGAGACCGGACCGTCAACGCTCAGGGCGCGCTTCTCGAGAAGCACCGGCAAGCCCGAGTTCCAGCGAGTCTTACGTTCCCCCGAAGGGAGCTTAGTAAAGGGGGGCTTGGCGAATCAGCTCACGCAGCCGTTTCCCAGCGTTGAACCTCCAGCGGCGGAGCAGAGAAACCAGCTGCACGCAGCAGATGTCGTGGCCTGCCATTTCCCGATCCCCCCCTTTCGTCCGACTTGAAGGTCGGATCACATCGGGGGGGTGGGCGAAACTTGGGGGTCCCAGAGCGGTGCAATGACGGACAGTGTGTGCGGTGGCCTCTGAACCCCGGAAGGCCACGTCGCACGGTTCGCCACAGCGAGGAGGAGGAGGAGAGGAGGAGGAGGAGGAGGAGGAGGAGGAGGAGGAGGAGGAGGGAGGAGGAGGAGGAGGAGGAGGAGGAGAGGAGGAGGAGGAGGAGGAGGAGGAGGAGGAGGAGGAGGAGGAGGAGGGAGGGAGGAGGGAGGGAGGGAGGGAGGGAGGGAGGGAGGGAGGAGAGGGAGGGAGGAGGGAGGGAGGAGGAGGAGGAAGAGGAGAAGGCGCCCAGTGGCAGGGCCGACTTTTGGCTGCGTGCAGCAAAATGCACCCCCCGTTTCCCTGACGGCCCCCCTTTGAGAAGCAACACCAATACACAAGCATACTCTGTGTCCATCAATAGTTCTGAGGGTACCTGTAGTCCTGGGTGGGTACCTGTAGTCCGGGGGGGGGCCAGTAGTCCGGGGGGGGGGGGGCCCGTAGTCCAGGGGGGAGGTACCCGTAGTCCGGGGGGGTACCTGGACGCCCCCCTTTGAGAAGCAACACGAATACACATAGGGAACCGAACTCTATACACCGACGTTTTTTCCGGCCCTGCACTGAAATTCGCTCAGGAACGCGGATTCTGGCGTATACGGGATCCTGGTGTATACGTTCTTCGCTGTCTCCCCGGGAAAACGGGTAAAGAAGTATACACCAGACCACCCCAGCATCGGCCTTGACCCTCAAAAAATCATGGGATTGAAAAACGGCCCGCCACTGGTACTGTATATGTTCCAGTTCCGAACACAAGCATAAAACTTCCGAGTTCCGCATGGATTTCTTGGGCCAGCGCGGCTCTGGACCCCCCATGCGGCGGCGCCTCCAGCGCCGCCCCTGGTGCGCTCCGCGCGCCAGAGATGAGGTCTCAGCGTCGACCCAAGAAATCAGCCTGTACCTCCGAAAGCTTACAGCTTACAGCCAATACGCTGAAATAAGAACCACTTTGGGCTCATGGGTGGTTCTGGTTTTCGAGCCGCCCCTCAGATCCAGGTCGGGGAACCTCTTCCTGGCCGAGGCTCGCCATGGCAACAAAATGCCCCTTGTGTCTTATGTTGCGTTCCTTATGGTAGTACGATGAGCACGTGATGTAGGGGCAACGGTAGGGGGGACCGGCTCAGCGGGGATACATCGAGCTGGAATTGTCAATATATCGCCAACTTATCGGTGACAGGCCCCCCATGGCGAGACGGCACGTTCCTGGGCGGAGTGGGCCATCGGGCCCCCATCGGCAATCAATGGGCGACTGGGGATCGATGCATCCCCCCCCGAGCATACCCCCCTAACGTTGTTCCTCGACCCTCCCCTTACCTGAGAGCCGACGTCGCGAACCAAAGTGCAACATCGTTAAAAGACACCTCTGCGGTCCTGGACCGCATCTCTCTGCCGCACGTCCCGAGCCGCGTCGATCTGCGAGGGCCCCAGGGCCTGGCTCCGGGCAAGAACGCCCGCTGCGAGAAAGACAAAGCGACGCCAGGTTGGAGGCGGCCAGGGGGTCTGAATCGACGACACGCAAAGGTGGCCCTGGGTAGGAGTGACATCTGGTGCGCGGACTAAGGGGGGCGCAATGCGGCCAAGCCCAAGCGCGCAAGTGGCCGCTGACGCGCCTCGCGCTCAGCGGTCGGGGGGGCCCCGATGAGCCCGCAGCAAAAGGTCACTCTGGCGAAGGGTCACTCCGGAAAAGGGTCACTCTTACGTGCAGTCCCCTGGACTGGTGGGTGCGGCTCTGAAAAATCGGCCCCCTGTCTGGTGCAGCCTCCACCCGAATTGTGGACGGTCCCGGGCCCGAAAACGGCCACCGGAGACCGAAGAAGCAAAAGACCCTCTCGAGCCTAGCACCACGATTTTTTTGATCTGCAGGGCGAGAGCGAACCTCTTCCGCTGAACGCTAAGCGGGACGCGCACAGCTTTAATTAGCAGAGAAAGGGCGGCAGAAGGCGGGGCCTCACGTGGCCAGGAGCGGCCTAGCACCACGAACCTCGCCCCCCACTGGGCCCCACTTGCTGCTCGCTGGAGCCGGCGCTGGGCCACCCCAGGCCCCCAGCCGGCTCCAACCGCCAGGATCGGAGGGTTTCCCAGCGTCCCCCGGCGTCGGCCTCTCCCAGGGAGCAGGAGGAGGAGGAGGAGGAGGAGGAGGAGGAGGAGGAGGAGGAGGAGGAGGAGGGGTCTGAGATGCGGGCGCGGGGGAGGAGAATGAGGAGGGGGGGGAGAGGTGTGAGATGTGGGCGGGGGTGAGGAGAATGAAGAGGAGGACGAGGAGGAGCCTGAGATCTGGGCGAGGAGGAGGAGGAAGAGGAGCAGGAGGAGGAGGAGGAGGAGGAGGAGGAGGAGGAGGAAGCAGGAGGAGGAGAAGGAACAGGGAGGAGGAGAAGGCGGAGACGAGCGTACAGGAGAGCAGGAGGAGGAAGAGGAGGAGGGAGGAGCAGGAGAGGAGGAGGAGGAGGAGGAGGAGGAGGAGGAGGGCTTCGTCCGACCCGAGCCTGCGGCGGCCCGAGCTCTCCATCGCCCCGCGGTGCCCCTCGGAGGGCCTGCGGCACACCTCCGCCTCAAGCGGTCTCGGGAAAGCGTCGAAGCGCGGCCCGCCGCGCACCGCTCTGGGCCAGAACGGGCACGCGCGCGGAGGAGGAGGAGGAGGAGGAATCGATGTGTATGTGCGCGTGTGCATAAAATACGCACAGGAAAGACTGAGGTCTAGATTTGTAGCTTTTAAGATCTAGACAGGTTGGCATGAAGTGCACATGGAGAGATCTGCCGAAGATCTACATCAAATGAGATCCATCGAAGGGGAGAGGGCTGGGGTGCTAGGGTCCGCCCCCGAGCCTCGAGGGCCAAGGGGGGGGAGGTTCTCGGAGACGGTGGCCCACGACGGGCCTCCAGAGGGCTCCAGAGGCCTCTGGGGACCTCTGGGGAGCTCCAGGGACCTCCGCGGGTCAGGATCCAGAGCGGGAAGTGGGGGGAGGAGGAAGAGGAGGAGGAGGAGTAGGAGGAGAAGGAAGAGAAGGAAGAGAAGGAGGAGGAGAACAAGGAGGAGGAGGAGGAGGAAGAAGGAGGAGGAAGGAGGGAGGAGGAGGAGGAGGAGGAGGAGGAGGAGGAGGAAGGAGGATGGCTGATCACAGCGAGCATCGCGTCTCCAATCTCTCGCGAGCCCCTCTGCGTTGTCCTCTGCGGCTGCGGCTGCACATTGCTGCTCGTGTTGTTCCTCGATTGACGCTACAGCCACTCTTCCCCTAAGCTGGGCAACTGAAAAGGAGGAGGGAAGGGCGGCGGCGAAAGAAGGGAGGAGGGGCAAGAGAAAGGGGGTAGTCGAGGAGGGGGAAGTAGGGAACGAACAGGGGAGTGGGAGGTGAAGCGAGGGGAAGAGAACGGGGGGCGGAGGGGGCGGGAGGCAGGCAGGGAGAGGGAAGAGACTGCACAGGGAGGAAGGCTGGCGTGGGTAGACAGTCCCCCCCCCGCGCTGCCTCTCCCTCGCCCCTATCAATCACGTTCGCCATAACGTTGGCAATAAGATTCGCCCTCGCTTGGACACCACAGTCCACAGCGATGGCTGCAGCTACGAAGGACGTCTTATGAGCACACGCCCGCCATAGCAGCAGGAAAACTGACCCATGCATCCATCCAGCCTGCCCTCCCGCCCTCTCCGAACCTAACTCCCTGCCTCTCCCTGCCTCCTTCCCGTCCTCACCGATACCTCGTGCCCACGCTTAGATCGGGCATGTCCTCCTAGAAGCAGATTTTGATGGGAACATCAAAAATAAACAAAGATACAAAACATTGCTTAAAACATGATGTTAAGGAAAAAAATCGTCCTACAACTATCTTTTGACAATGCTGAAATACTCCTCCTTTACGGGGACATGCCCGACTGAAGCCTACGCAGGCGGAGCGCAGCCGTGCTGGCGATTTTTCCGTTGGGGGGGCCAGGCCGCTCCAGCGATGGCCCGCTGGGCCTCCGCGAGACCTCGCCCGCGGCCGCGCGATCTGCACATCAAAACCTGCGGCGCGTGGCAAGCGCCATGCCGACGGCAGTACTGAGGGCCTCTCACCCTCTAGCGTGAGCGGGGAGGGGGAAGTAGAGTGGCAGGGCTTCGGGCGGCGCGCGGACAGCCCCCCAGGCAGTCCTGGCTGGCCTCAGCAGGCCCCCCGCCAGCAGCCCCAGCCCCAACAGGCCCCACGAATGGTCCGCGGGGGCCCCGGGTCTCAACGCCCTGTCGCGGGGCCTGCCGAGGCCAGCCAGGGCTGCCTGGGAGGGCTGTCGGCGTGCCGCCCGAAGCCTCACCGAGGCGGTTTTGGGCCGCTGCAGTTAGTGCGTTCGGGGGGTGGTATGTTTGGGGTGGTCCAATGAACGCTGTTCGGAAAGGCTTTCCCAAGTTTTCGGAACGCCGTTCCGCGTCGCGTTCGGCGGCGACCGAGCGCGCCAACTCGCAGGCCAAATTCGCATGGACTCGGGTTTGCGAGAAGGCTGAAAGCAGAGCGGGTTGGGCGGCGCGCCCAGGATGGGGGGGGGGGGGGCGGGCAGTGGCCGGGGGCGGGCCTCCTCAGAGGCTCCGACGGCCGGAGCGCTTCCGAGAAGCCCCCCGCCGCCCTCTGAGAACGGCCTCCTCCGCCCCCTCTCGCCCGCCGCCGCCGCGTCGGGGCGCTCTGTCCGCGCGCCGCCCGGAGCCCGTCAGCCCCCCTTGGCGCGTCGGGCTCCCGTCCGCAGCGGGGGCCCCAAGGAGGGCCGCTCCCCCTCGGCGGCGCGCAGGGGAGGGAGGCCTCTCTTGGAAGGAGGCTGCTGCTGAATTAGAGGGCGCCAGCCCTGCAGATCCTCACGTCTGCTGGCACGGCCCCGCGCCTCCTGAGGAGCAGGGGAGCTTCCAAGAAGCCCCCCCACCTCCCCCCCTCCTCCTCCTCCTCCTCCTCCTCCTCCTCCTCCGCCTCCTCCTCCTCCTCCTCCTCCTCCTCCTCCTCCTCCTCCTCCTCCTCCTCCTCCTCCCTCCTCCTCCTCCTCCTCCTCCTCCTCCTCCTCCTCCTCCTCCGCCTCCTCCTCCTCCTCCTCCCCATCTGCCCCGCCCCTGCACGTGGCTGGGCCCGCCTTCCGCGGGACCGGCCTTTCACCCCCGGGCCGCTCCTCGGCGGCCCGATGCCCGCGGCGGGGGCCCCCCGAGGCCGCAGGACTTCCCCGACGGAAACCCCCGCCGCGGTGTCTTACCACGGCGCGAGGAGGTCTGGGCCCCCCTCAGCTCGAGGGGGCGAAAGCGACGCACGTCATCACTTGCTAGGCGAGCGACGAATTATCCCGGCAAAGCAACCTAACAGCGATGTGTGTAAGCATATCTGGAAGCATTCCCCTCAAGATTCAGGTGAGAATCCAGTTGTAGAATTTTGCTGTTCTCGCAGTCGCAGTCGCATTCGCAATGACAGTAGCAGTGGCAACGGCCTTAGGATCCATGGAATCCTAAGGATTCCTAGGGATTCCTAGGGATTCATAAGGCATCCTTAGGCACCCTTAGGAATACATAGGAATCCTTAGGAAACCTGAGGAATCCTTAGGACTCCTGATTCCTAGGGATTCCTAGGGATTCCTAAGGATTCCTAGGGAATCCGAATGATTCATAAGGATTCCTGAGGATGCTTAACTCTGTCTACGGACTCCTAAGGATGCCTACGGATTCCTAAGGATTCCTAGGGATTCCTAAGGATTCCTATGGATTCCTACGGATGCCTCAGCCTGCCTCAGTTTCAGCCTCAGCCTCAGCCTGCCTCGGCTTGCCTCAGCCTCAGCCTCAGCATGCCTCGGCCTCAGCCTCAGCCTCAGCCTGCCTCGGCCTCAGCCTGCGTCAGCCTCAGCCTCAGCCTGCATCAGCCTCAGCCTCAGCCTCAGCCTGCCTCAGCCTCAGCCTCAGCCTCAGCCTGCCTCGGCTTGCCTCAGCCTCAGCCTCAGCCTGCCTCGGCCTCAGCCTGCCTCGGCCTCAGCCTGCCTCAGCCTCCCCTCCTCCGCCCCCTCCTCCCCCCCCCATTCAGCCTCACCTTGTCTCAGCTTCGGCCTGCCTCATCCTCATCCTCAGCCTCAGCCTCAGTCTCAGCCTCAGCCTGTCTCGGCCTGAGCCTGCCTCGGCCTCAGCCTCAGCCTGCCTCAGCCTCAGCCTGCCTCAGCATCAGCCTCAGCCTGCCTCAGCCTCAGACTCAGCCTGCCTCAGCCTCAGCCTGCCTCGGCCTCAGCCTCAGCCTCAGCCTCAGCCTGCCTCGGTTTGCCTCAGCCTCAGCCTCAGCCTGCCTCAGCCTCAGCCTCAGCCTGCCCTAGCCTCAGCCTCAGCCTGCCTCAGCCTCAGCCTGCATCAGCCTCAGCCTCAGCCTGCCTCAGCCGCAGCTTGCCTCAGCCTGAGCCACAGCCTCAGCCTCAGCCTCAGCCTGCCTCAGCTTCAGCCTCAGCCTCAGCCTGCCTCGGCTTGCCTCAGGCTCAGCCTGCCTCGGCCTCAGCCTCAGCCTCAGCCTGCCTCAGCCTCAGCGTCAGCCTCTCAGCCTCTGCCTGCATCAGCCTCAGCCTGCATCAGCCTGCCTCAGCCTCAGTCTCAGCCTGCCTCAGCCTCAGCCAGCCTCAGCCTCAGCCTCAGCCTGCCTCGGCCTCAGCCTGCGTCAGCCTCAGCCTCAGCCTGCCTCAGCCTCAGCCTGCCTCAGCCTCAGCCTCAGCCTGCCTCGGCGTGCCTCAGCCTCAGCCTCAGCCTGCCTCGGCCTCAGCCTGCCTCGGCCTCAGCATGCCTCAGCTCGGGCATTCAAAATATGGCACAGGACTGGTGTTGTGGGAACACGAAGATCACGAAGTGGCCCACACTTGGCTCCGGGCAATCAAAATATGGTACAGGAATGGTGTTCTGGGAACACGAAGAACACGAAGTGGCCTACGGTTGGCTCTGGGCATTCAAAATGTGGCCTGGGAATGGTGTTCTGGGAACACGAAGAACACGAAGTGGCCTACGGTTGGCTCTGGGCATTCAAAATGTGGCCTGGGAATGGTGTTCTGGGAAGACGAAGAACACGAAGTGGCCTACAGTTGGCTCTGGGCATTCAAAACGTGGCCTGGGAATGGTGTTCTGGGAACACGAAGAATAGGATTCCATAAGAAATTATAGGAATCTATAAGAGTCCTGGGGAGTCCCCGGATTCCCGGCTTCTCCCGGCACCCGCCCAGACCCCCCTGGGGAGTCAAGATGCTCTCTTTTGAGCCCACTAGAAACCTATCAGTCTTCGCTGTTAGGTAACAAAACGAGTCCTACGTGAGATGACGCAGTGACCTGTCGCGGCGGACTGCGCGGGCTGCCAGCGCGGCACGCTACGCTGGAAGCTGGGGCGCTTGCGCGCGACCTTACACGAGGAGCTCACGCGGCAATGTCGGCGCAGTCGAGCCCGTGTTTGTGCGTCGCTGAAGTGTCAGCGAGCGCGATTATCTGACGACGCCTGCGAGAGTCACTCTGGCCCGCCATTGGCCTTCATCCTGGATGCCGAGCGCTCGTGAACTAATTGCCGGTCGGTCGGAAGAAAATTCCCTTAGGAAGGACAAGCAAAAAACACTCGATGATTGAAGTAGGAAGGCGCCTAGAGTATTGGATGCTCATTCTGGGG